TTTGCACAACCAGCAGGAGGCGATGAGATCTTCTCTCAGCTGAGAGCAGACTGTCAAAGCTGGAATGCTGCTTACTCCTTCATACATCAATGTGGGAATAAAAATATCTTACATTGCGGGGTTTTTTTTTCAGGTCTGGAAAACCAATGAAAAATGTTCCGCCATTTGAGATAACTGAGCAAAGGCATGACCTGTGGATTTAGATAGGCAAACTTTGGGTTTTGGAATTCCTACATTGGTAAATCCAACACATAAAGTTCAATATGGAATCTGGTTTAAAAGGATATGTGGAGGATGGACACAATGGTAAAATAATAACTGGCATGTAAATATTTTAATAAAACCATTACAATAAATAAAAGCATCAGAAACTGCCTCTTGAAACAGTTTTCAGTATATTTAAACAGACACATTTTCTGTTCTTTCATTTCTGGCTAAAAGTAAAAGGGAGGAGCCACTTTTGGGCTCTTATTGAAATCTCTGCTGGACAAAAACTTCATCCACGTATTGCATTTCATTCCCCCATAAAAGCATCAGTGGGATTCTGCAATTTCCTTTCCTAGTGTGGCTCAGTGGATGAGAGCCACCAAGACCTCACTCATTGTTTGGCCTAGCCTTAGAACCTGGCACATCCTCCAGGCTAGGAAGAGCCCCATCAGCACTTGCCTTGTTTCCAATCATTTTGCATAAGAGCCTTGCCCTATCCAAGGGCAGAGCTTTGAACTGAAAGTAGAGGAAGACGCTCTTTCTCAAATCACTAGCAGAGGTGTAGGGTGCAGAGGAGCTGAAGTGGAAAGCACCACCTAAGGCTGTTCATCTCAGCCAAAGCATCTTGTTCCTGCCTCACCCACAGCTGTCAGTATCCCAAGTCTGTTATCCTTCCTTGGCATCTGCTTTGGTGGGCGGAGGAAAAATCTTACCTCCTCCGAGTAAAACTCTTTATAATTTTGTATCATTTGGATCATTGCAATATTGTTTTCCCTGCACTCCTCCAAAAGCTTACAATAAGACCCTTCAGGGTTAAATTAGGATTGGTGGAGGGGAAAATAGACGGTTAGGAAAAGGAAGTTTGCAGGAAGGCAGGAAGGGGTTGAGAATCCAAAAGATAAACATGTGCAGGGGAAGGATCACCTGGTTGTAGGGGATTCCAGAAGCGGATAGATCGACCGCATCAGTTCTGCCTTTCGCCTGGCTTGTTAATTGTTCTGGTGTGTGTGGGGGGGGATCTCTAGGGAGGAAGTTGCTGAAAAATCCTCAGGAATATCGAGGTCCAAGTTATCAAATGCGGGGCGCTGGCTGGAGCCTCCGCCTCCCGCGGCAGAAACCCCTAGATTCGAGATGAGCCGCTTCTCGGCTTCCCGGAGGGAGAAGTGGTAGACGGGGCTGAATTTTCAGCTTCTACCACACCTACGGTGGAAGCAGACCCAAAGATGCTTTTTCACAGGGCAACTGGACTTCCTTGTTTTTCTTTGAAGACGTTTCGCTTCTCATCCAAGAAGCTTCTTCGGAGAAGCCAAACGTCTTCAAAGAAAAACAAAGAAGTCCAGTTGCCTCGTGAAAAAGCAACTTTCGGACAACTGCGACCTGGATGACTGAGAACCTCCATAGCCATCTAGCAGCAGAGCCTTCTCTTCAGCCAGACAGGCCCCTGTCAGCAGGCCCGGGGCAAGCTGGATGGAAACGCCAAGGAAAAAAGCGGCAGCTTTGCGCCGACTTAAGCAAGCGAATAACTAAAAGAAGTAAACGCGGACAACTCAACGGAGTTTCATCCCCTTCGGCTGACTGAACGTTAAATGAGTTTTTCCGAAAACTATCGAGTGGTTCACTTTCACGTCCCTTTCTTGCCTTGCCCCGATCGTTCCCGCAGGTCAAATTGACGTTGGGAGTTTGGAGAGGCCCGTGGGAACAGGATGAGGGGCAACAGAGTACTAACCACGGGATTCAGCATTTTGGCTATTCGGAGGCGAGCCTGTTATTTACTCATCCAACCGGGGTGGGGGAGAGCCAGATCGACCCCTGCCGAGCCCAGAGAGCGATGGCGGGGCCTAGAGGCTGCTCCTCCGGCGCGGTGGGCTCTGGGGCAGCCACGCAGCACTGGGAGCTTGGCGGCGTCGGCGGTTGGATGCGCCGACAAAAGCGGGCCGCTCGGCGCCGGGGACCGAAGGGCCGCCGCCTGCCCTGAGGCCACGTTAAGAGTGGCTTAGAAAGGCGAGGGTGAAACGGCTACCGCGAAACAAAACGCTTCCGCCAATTGCCAATTCGCCGGGGAGGCGGGAAAAGAAAGGCGAATGCGGGGCGGAGGAAATTGGCCCTCGGATTGGAGCCTTTCCGGCGGGGCAAAGGGCGCCTGAGGGCAGGCCGGACTGACGCTCTACTGACCCAGATCGTCCTCCGCCGGCCTCCTCCTCCTCCTCCTCCTCCTCCTCCTTTCAGGCCTCGGCGCTCGGGCCGGGCGGGAGCGGGGTTCAGGACTCCTCTGGCCGCTCCCTTGAGGGGGGTCGAGGGAGAGGAAGAGGCGCAGAGCAAAGCCGCCTCCGCGGGGCCCTCGCGGAAGGCCTCGGAGAGCCCTTCTACGGGCAACCGGGCTGCCTCTGGCAAATAAAATTCCCTCGGCAGGCAGCGATTGGTCTCCCGAGTTGTTCGCCCTTCGGGAGGAATTGACGCTTGCCGCCCGATCCCGCCCTTCCTTCGGGAACGTCTCCCCCCTCCGCCCCCCTGCCGCTCCTCTGGAGGAGGAAACTGCCGCGGTGGGGTCGCCTCGTCCTGAAGAGTTCTCTCGAGAAGGACTTCGGCGTTCAAGTTTCACTTTTATAGCCGGGTCGGGGCCGTTGCGCTTTGGGCTTTGCAGTCCGAGGTTTATAGGGGCTTCTTGAAAAGTCCCTAGGAAACCCCTCTCCGCACGGGTTGGGGCCAAATGTTGCCTATAAAGGAAAAAGACTTTTCCAGGGCAGAGGAAGGCAGGCCGCTTAGGAGATGAAACCAAGCGCCGCCGAAACCGCGGCGCGAAAGTATCCCGCGGAGAAAAGCAGCTGGGAATCGCGGCGGGCTGCGCATGGAGCAGCTGGGGTGGAGGAATCGAGAGGAGAGCTCTTGGGGGGGACGAGCCTCCTGGGAGAGTATTAGGGTAGCGGGCGCGGTGCTCCCCACCCCCTTCCTTTGCTTCTCTACTTCGCCGCGAAACAGTTTTGTCGCCGCGGCACCGGAACGCTGCTCTCCATTAGCATTTCAAAGAGTCATCCAGATGTTTATTACAGTAAAAGAGGGCGAGTGCACAAGAGAGATCTCAATTATAAATCCTTGTATTTTTAAATACGAACTGTAAGCGATTCGAGTAGGTGCCTTTGCAAAAATTTTGACATGCTCGGGGAGGGAGGTTCAGTGAGAAGAAAACCAGGTCTGGAATTTTTCCCTGTCCCAAACCTGGATTTCAACCACAGTTTCTTTGCTTCTTGCTACCCTCTCAGCCTGCTTTTCTCTCTAGAAGGTAGCGGGAAAACTTGCCCGATAAAAATAACTGCAGAAATTTGCACTCTTTGGCACTGATCCTGACCCTCCGAGGAAAATACCCAGTGACCTTCAGTTCCTAATCCATTAATATTTCCCAGACAGTCGCTTTGAAACAAGATGTCATTGACCCCATTAAAATTTGTTTCTTTAAAAATGAACTTGCGCCATCGAGGAAGCCCGCTGGAATTATCCATCAGTTCCTTGCAGTGCCTAAACTGTTTCTGATCTCGGCTCGTTTCGGTTCTTCCCCAACTTCCATTAGCGAGGTGGGTCGAATTCACGCCCCGGGAAACAGCAGCGAAAACGTCTAAATCAAAAAGAAAGAGTTCCTATTTTAGAAAAGGTGAAAGGGTTTTCCCAACTGCCCAACTTTAATCTTTAAGCAGGGAGGCTTGGTCTCTGTCTCAGGGGTGAACAAGCCCTAAAGCTGGTTTCCAAATTCCCCCGTTTTATTATTTCAGCGAAGGCACCGTTTTGTACCAACGGTGTTCGTTTTTAATCTTAGGTAGATCTGGACTTGCCTTGGGAAGGAAGGAAGGAAGGAAGGAAGGTTATGAAGAACTGCTTTTCATAATTCCTACCCATAGCGATTAAAATTACATATTACCAACACACCACAAAATCCGTAATGTGATCTGGTTTGGATGACGAGCCAAGTTTTCCCCTATCAACTTGTCGGCTGCTTTATCCTCTTAATTGTAAATGTTTTTGTCTAGATAAATATTGCTGTGTGAACCTTTACGGTCTGTGTACGTACGTTCTCATGTAAAGGATGAAATTCTAAACGAAGTGCCCAAGAAATAAATACGATCGATTTCTGAATGGGTACGCGCGGGTTGCACTCTAAATATTTCCCTTACTATTAGTTTTGCTTTGTAAAGAAAATAAGCGACTGAAAGTAATGATTAATCCATTGATTCATTCAAAAACCTAAGTCTCAACAATTTATTTCTTAAAATTAATAATGGGAAGATGTCTTGAATATTGCAATTAAGCTTGTAAGCAAAATATAATCGAAGCAAACAAGTTTCTACGTTTAGTCAATGCAGTCGAGATTTGTTGTACTGAATTACACGGGATAATCCTACCCATTCCTTGTAGCATTCGGGGAGGGGGGGTCTTTTCCTTTTCATGGAAAAAGTGATTCAGTTCTTCTTGCCAGCTGCAGCAAGAAGGGTGTCCAGGAAAGCCACCCAACTTGGTCCAACCTATACCAATCCCCTTCTCCTCCACGATCCAGGCCGCATTTTGCCTTGGGCTGAAGCCAGAGGCTGCCCAGCCTCTGGCAAGAGCCAATCAGAGCGCGCCTTCCAGCACGTGGAGGAGAGGGAATCAAGAGCCCAGCGATTGCAGTGCAGTCACTACCCTGGTTCCTCGTGTCCTGGGCAGGAAGAGGGGCGAGCCTCAGCTGCTGCTTAGTGGGGGGAGGGGTACCAGCCCCGGCCAAACTTCAACCCCCGCACGGCCCGGGAGAGTACAAGCAAGCCAAAGCCATGAGCAGCCAATACCAAGAGGAGAGCTGCTCCGAGAGGCCCGAATGCAAAAGTAAATCGCCAACTTTGCTCTCCTCCTATTGCATCGACAGCATCCTGGGCAGGAGGAGCCCTTGCAAGATGCGGCTGCTAGGAGCAGCTCCTAATCTGCCGCCTCAGGCCAACCGGACGGAGCCGGACAAGGCCGGGCAAGGTGAGAAGGGGTTAAGATCGTGAGGAAAGGAGGGTGGAAAAGGGAGGCAACACAGCTTCGAAGAGATGAGAGGCAGACCCCTGCCTTGCCCGCAGTCCTGGATATCGACTGACCTCTTCCACTCCACCCTTGGCCCAGGGACTGCGTGGGGAGGGCGCGCTTCTAAGTAGCCGGGTCACAAACTCGGGCGGTCCCAAGTTGAGCTGTCGGGCAGCTGAAGGCCGAATCGCGTTCCAAAGATCTCCGCTCCCCACGGGCTCCGTTGTCTCCCTCTCCCTCTCCGGTGCAACGGGCTGAATCCCGGCAGGGTTTACGCTACTCAGGGAGAAGGGGCGGCGGGGGGGGGTAGATGCAAAACCGAGGGTCTCTTTTTCTGCGCTCCTCACTTTACGGGTTTGTGTGGGTGGCGTTGTGGTGGCAAATATCAACCGCTGCCAAGAGTTCTGTGCGTGTATTTTCTCCAACTTGGCAGTCCCTTTGCCCCCCCCTCCAGGCCTAGATTAAAAACGAAGCGCTCTTTGGGTGACGGGGGGGGGGGAGCACACTCCAGTTCAGTGTCCAAATCTTGTAGGAAATTGGATGTTCCGTTCTGATTTTCTTCATGAGGGGAGAGAGGAAGAGAATTCGGCTTCTTCTAAGCCACTTTCTCTCCGGTCTGGAGTTTCAGGTCGGTTTCAAAGGCGGGTCTGTCTTGCTACCTCCAAAGAAATGTGGAAATTAATTTGACAGAGCCCCGTAGGTGTCAGATGCCAGCTGCAGGAGAGAGACCCCCTTTACTTGATACTTGAAGGTAATAATGTTTGGAATCAAAACGAGGTTGGGAGATGTTCTCCGGCAATGCTGTTTGCTGCAGCTGCTTTCAAATATAAGCTTGGTTCTACATTCTGTAAAACCTGCCTGAAATCTGTAAACGAACAAAACAGACTTTGTATGTTATTACAGAAAGGGGGAATTGCCTGGATTCTAACGGAATTCCTTTGGGCTCTATTGACTCAACCTAGACAGCTGAGGAGGAAGATGGGCGGGTTGGGATGATTCGCGCCGGGACTTTTTGCAGGGGGGGGCTCTCGCCAAGAAGCCCATCTGTAGCTACTGAACTGACGACCCGTGCATGCATGTCTGTGTCTCTGGCAGGACCAGGCAAGGGCAGCCCGCCCGGGTTCGAGACGGGCGAGCTGCATCTGCCGCCCAAGCTGCGCCGCCTCTATGGGCCTGGTGGGGGCCGACTGCTGGCGCGGGCCGAGGCAACCGCCTCGTCGTGGGACTCCCTCAAGATCAGCCAGGCGCCACAGGTCAGCATCAGTCGAAACAAGTCCTACCGGGAGAACGCGCCCTTTGCGCGAATCGCTCCTACCCTCGACGACTTGAGCAGTCCTGGAGGTGGCGGCGCCCCCGACGGCAGGTCGGGCCGAGGGGAGGAACTGCTGGAGGAGGACGAGGACGAGGAAGAGGAGGAAGAAGAGGAAGAGGAGGCCGAGGAGCTGGACGAGGAGCTGGATGAGGACGACGAACTGCTGTCAGAGGCCAAAGACGCCCGGCGGAGCTCGGGGCCCGCGGGTGGGACTGGCGTGGGGCCTGCGGCGATGGGAAGCGAAGGTGCCGGCGGCTCGCCCAAGGAGGAGCTGCTGCTCCCTGCCGACGAGCTGGCCGACGGCAAGGATGGCGAGGACAGCGTGTGTCTGTCGGCGGGCAGCGATTCCGAGGAGGGGCTGCTGAAGAGGAAGCAACGCCGTTACCGCACCACCTTCACCAGCTACCAGCTGGAGGAGCTCGAGAGGGCCTTCCAGAAGACCCACTACCCAGACGTCTTCACCAGGTAGGGAATGAACCGCTGAGACAAGGTAGCCTCCGAGCGGCTCTAGGGTGGGAAGGGGTTTCTAGGTCAGGAGGGAACGTGGAAAGAACTCTTAGGGTCGAGGAAAGAGAGCTGCAGGGTCAGGAGAGACGGATCGATGGGGCAGAAAATCCTCTGGGGCGAAAGTTTTTAAAGTTTCGGTTTTTGCACCGACGCGATCAGAAGGAGGAAACAGCTAGGCATAAAGAAAGGGTACTGCAGGGCTGGAAAGAGATTTGATAAGAAAAGGAGATGCGCGTCTTCTTGGATCTTCTTCGGATCGTCCTCCACAAAACTCACTTTCGTGCCCCGCTTCGCTTCTCCCTTCCGCTATTCCCGTACTTTGGGAAGTCACCTTTCCCCAGATTCAGCGGCCTTTACGAGTTAGCCTGCCCGGCTCTCCGCTGGACTTCGGGCGTTAAGCTAGTCTGCCAAGGACAGGTGTGGCCGAATTTTTGGCCACCTCGTTGCCAAACTCCAATCTATTTTTGCCCTGATCCTCTGGCTAGTCTGTCAGGTATCAGTTTCACAGCTTTCCGTTGAAGCTGGAAAGCTGCCCTCTCAATGGAAGCCACATACATACACATAGGAAAAGATCAAAGTTTTCCGCTTTCGAAGGCTAAAAATATGGAGCGAGGCGGCAGCGTTGGGCCAGAGCGTTTTGGCAGAGTCTGCAAGGGCTGGCTTGCCTACTCGCGGACGGAAGTAATTTCTGGACGGGGTCTGGAAAACAGGAGATGGAAAAAAAATAGAGGGGGGGGGGAGCGGACGAGAAAGTGTTGCTATTCTTTCGATGCGCCTCAACTTAGAAAGGAATCTCCCGTCAAGCTGAGAACTACCGGTCTTCTCCTGAAGCGCTGGGCGGAACTTTCGGTCCCAACCTCCATGCAAAAGTAAAATGGCTTCCTAAATGTTTGCATCTTGAGAGGGAAAATCTTCGCCTTTCCTTAGCTTCAGATTTGCTTTGGGGTGAGCTTAATTCATCAGAAAACAAGCAATTCCTGTATTAGCCCTTCCGAGATGATAACTATTTAATTAATAATATCAATCAATTAAGTATTCAGGCCTTTCTTTGGGAATTCCTTCCTTCATTTTTGCAGGAGCCCAAATGCTCCCAGTCTATGGCCAACAGACAAGCAAAAGTAGGCGCTGCTCATCCAACTCAGCCCCTTCCCTAAAAGCGTAGCGATTGGGAGGGGGGGGGGAGAGAAAGATACTCGTGCTGAACTGCGAAAGGCGTGGGATTCTTTGCCGGGGGAGCTCTTACTCTACCAAGTTCGTAGGCAATTTTCCCGGGTGCGAAGAAATTGATTCTCCATCTGTAAAGTCAGCAGTTTACTCGCTCTTCTCCTTTTTTATCAATTGTCTGGGATTCTTCCTCTACTTTTCTTCTCTTCTGAGGAAGAGAGGAAGAGGGAGAGAGGGGCGCCTCTTTAAATTCGTTAACCTGCCACAGCGCGTATTATTTCCGCGGGAAGAGGGGCTGCGTTTGGATGACGGAAAGAAACCGAGGGATCCCTTGCTAAGGCGGTTTCTTCGCTAGCGTTTTATAGCCGCTTCTTCTGTGCCAGTCAGTCAAACTCGGTTGTGGGGCTACAATGCCCGTCTTCGTCGCTGATACGCAAGCTACCTTTCTAGACTAGCCAGAACCCAGAAAATCGCCCCGCCTTTTCACTGAAAAAGGGTCAGCGGAGCACACCAAGCAGCCTCGTTCCGGTGCCCAAACCGATGAACAGGGGGGGATGTCGGTTTTTCCACTGCCCCGGTCGCACGTCAGCGCACAAATGCGCCGGGTTCTTTAAATCGTTCCTACAGATCGGTCCGGAGGCTCCCTTTTTGGCAGCCCGAAGGCGCTGGCTATTTTTTCTTCTCGAGCCCGGCCAGACTCCCACTTTGGCCGGCACTGTGCTTTTCTTCCGAGCGGAGGGGAGAGCCAATTATCCCGGGAGTCGTCCGGATTCGAAGTAAACAGATTGTGAGCAGTTTCCTAACATCCTAATGGTTTCCGATTTGCTTTAATTGTTGCAATAATCACCCTCAATGAAGGGCTCGCGTTGCAGCTCAATGGGTCTCCCCTGTGCTGCCGCGTGGTATTTGGAGGTGGGAGCCTTCGTCAAAGGCCTTGGCTGGAGATGCCAGAGGGGAGGTGGGCTGGGGCTTGGCTCCTCCTGGGGAACTGCAGCCCTCTTTCGCACCTTCTTTCTCTGTGGAGAAAAGGGGAATAGTAAGAAAGTAAATTGAGCTTGGGGGAAAGCAACAGGTAAAGCCTGCCTGGGCTTTTTGATACCAGCCAGCGAACGTGAGGCTTAGGGCAAAGTCTAACGAGAAGGCTTAGGATAAAGTATTTCCTTCTGTGACCCAGGAACGGGAGAAGAAGGATAGGCCAGGGAAACCTCAAAATGTGGGATATCCCACCACCACCAAAAGACTTCAAGGCAAAAAGCAGGGGGGGTAGCCTGAGGTGGAGCTGGGCAGATGGGGTTCGCTTTGATCTGAGCAAGGGAGGAGGAGGAGGAGGAGGAGAGGGCAGAATTGAACCTTGGCCTTATGGAGTTTCTACCTCACTCTCACCCCACTGGGTCTACCTGCTCCCAGGTTTTCACCTGAGCACCTGTCTTGTACTTCTTTCCCTCCCAGGGAAGAGCTGGCGATGCGCCTGGATCTGACTGAAGCCAGAGTGCAGGTGAGTGTGTGTGTGTGTGGGGGGGTTGGAAATTGAAGAACCAGGTATCAGTTGGGCAGGGCAGTGCTTCTCCAATTTTTTTCCCAAGACAATGTCGAGGAGGTCCCCAACAAAGCTTCCTTTCTTTCCCCACTGCAATGAACACCTCCTGGCAATTTTTAGCCTCTCCCAAAATATTTCAAAGGGCAAGCCAGGCACGTTGGTGCAAGAGCAAAGAGGACTCAGAAGAGAACAGGGGGTTCCCTTCTCAACCCCCACCCCAATCTCTGAGAGCCAACTACTGTTCCTGTTTTCCTTTTGGGCTTGAGCATGCCATTTTATTCAAGTAGGTTTGGGGGGGGCAGAGTTGCCTCTGCAACAGTGCAGAAGGCCAACCATACCCCCAACAGATGGCTTGGCCTTTGGGCTCTGCGCTGAGCAAATCACTTTACACAGAAAGCCAAGTGCAGCAAAAGCATCATAAATTCCATATGGCTCATTTAATACACAACAGCTTCTCGCATTAGAGGAGTAATGAAGAGCCCAGTTCCCTCCTCTCTGTTGACACATTTCTCTATTGTCAAACAGAGATGTGACAGCAACTCAGGATTTTCAGCTCAGGGGAATGAGTCGTGGGAAAGTTAAATAACTAAAAAAAAGAGAGTGAACAAGAGCCTGAGACGACCCCCCCTTCCCCTCATCACCCATCTTTCTTTCTCACCCTCCCCTTCGTTCTCATTCATGGGAGACGATGTAATTAAGGAGAATATGAATTATTAGAATCCCTTGGTTTACCTTTGGGTATACCCAGACTTATTAATTCAATAAGAGGCAGAATTTCCAGCGGAGGGGGACATATTGTTAATTGAGTTGGAAACGGGAAAGGCGTACTGGGGGATGCCAAATTTTTCATTGCCTTAACGTTCAGTTTCTGGGCTGGCTGTGGTAGGGCTATAAAGAGGGCCTTCTTGGAGGTGATCAGAGCAAATCAGGAGCTATGCAAGGAAGTTACAATTTTTGCCAGCTATAATGTTTTCCTTCTTTCTCTCTCTTTCCCAAATTATTTTATTTGGTGGAGGTGGAATCAAAATTCTTAGAGAGCAAATTCTCACCTCCTGTTCCTTTCATTGTTGTAATTGTTAATGTGATTGTGCGACTTAAGCTGTATTGCTTTAAAACAGGACAAAAGATGCCAATGGCTGATATAAAGTAACATTAGTTACTTTATGGAAATTCATTCACCCAAATTTTGGTTAAAAAAACGTAGGAACCACAAAGCTTTCTCTTTTGCTCTTTCTCAAGAAAGAACTAGACTAGAGGAAGGGCAGACCTGCAGAGATTGTTAATGAAGCTGCAGATGAATAGCTGCAAAAGATTATTTACTATTATTATTTCTCTCAAGTATCAGAGTCCTTAACATATTTAACCTGCCACCTAAGTTACCAAAAGCATTCAAGAATTTGCCAAATATTTGGCACTGAGAAAGGGAAGGATAGAGAAAGTTACATGTAAAGTTTTAAAGACATCAGGAAACATTAGATATTGCTGATTGAATATTGTAGCATATGTCTTAGTAGTATATACTTCCCATTCACTATCCCCAGTCATTGGCGATGCTACCAGAGGATGGATGGGAATGCAGATCTAGATCAGATCAGGCAGAAAAAGAAACTCCTCCAATAGAGAACTAGTAACAACGAGCCTATTTCTACTAAGAGAAATGTATTTTAAAAGGTCATTCCGGTGGCTCAGCCTGCTTTAAAGGGACAGCTAAAGAATAGATATTAGCAAAACATAAATGATCAGAATAATTTATTGCTTATATATCTCCAAGAGTTTCCTTGATACATGGAAGACAGGGGGAATGGGGTATATCTGCCAGTCAGGGCTAACAGCCTAAATCCTCCCCAAAAGGTAAACGAAGAATTGCTGTATTAATGATATCATAAAAAGTAGTTCTGTCCAGTTGGATTTTTACTTTTGAATAGGAAAACTTGAGAATAAGTCAATGTATGCCTCCATCTGTTAAAATCTTTAATTTAGATGTCTGCACCACTGATTTGACAGGAAACCATGAAAAATCTGCTCAATATCTCTTAAATTTAGCTGACTTTCTACCACTGCGAGCCTTTGTTTTGGATTTAGGCAGAGTGAAAGAGCTTTTGATCCATTCAGCCCTGCAGCCTTGGCTTACTTCTCTTGATAGATAAGAGGACCAATTTGCTTTGTTTCCTTCTAAAGAACAGATGAGAGACCCACATAGTCTATTAGACAGATTTCACAGCTGCTTCCAGGCGGTGGAGGCGTCTTTCTTTTTAACCACTGCCGGAAAAGTAGAAACGCGCTAGATTACTCGGGTGGCTTTCTGGATGAAACCACCCAGGCAAGCTTTGCGGCTGAATCCCCTCTTCCCCTGCTGGACGGGTCTGGCGAGGTTAGGAGCCGGTCTCTTGTCGGCTCTCCTCCGCTGCAACGCCTCAGGGCGGCCCGGAGGCGGGTGACCGGGCTTCTGAAGATCGTTTGCTGGCCGCCGAGGAACAGGAGCGGAAAGGGCCGCGCTTACTAATCGCCTTGCCCTTGTTTTCTTTTGGCTTCCAGGTCTGGTTCCAGAACCGGAGAGCCAAATGGCGGAAGAGGGAAAAGGCCGGCGCTCAGAGCCACCCACCCGGCCTGCCTTTCCCTGGCCCGCTGTCGGCATCTCATCCGCTCAGTCCCTACCTTGATGCTAGTCCTTTCCCTCCTCACCACCCAGCTCTCGACTCCGCCTGGACGGCCGCCGCCGCCGCTGCCGCCGCCGCCGCCGCCTTTCCCAGCCTCCCGCCTCCACCGCCGGGCTCTGCAGCCTTGCCCCCCAGCAGCACCCCGCTAGGCCTCAGCACTTTCCTGGGAGCGGCTGTATTTCGGCACCCGGCCTTCATCAGCCCGGCTTTTGGCAGGTAAACTCCCCCCCCCCACAAACTGGTCAGCGGCGGGCCGCAGAAGAGGTGCTGAACTTGTCCTGCCGCACAGTGGTAAAGTGGGGAGGGGGGAGTCCCTCGGAGTACGCATGTGCCGCGTAGACCCAGAAGCACCCATTTCTGAAGTCAAAGGGGCGGAGCTAGGAGAAAGTTGGTTCTTGGGGAAGATGGTGGAACCCTTTCGTCTAAGGCAGGGGGTAGGCAACCTTGGCTCTTTTATGACTCGTGGGCTTCAACTCCCAGAATTCCTGAGCCAGCATGGCTCAGCTTGGAAACCTCTCCCTTTCCCCTCAGCATGGTTGGCTCAGGAATTCTGGGAGTTGAAGCCCACGAGTCATAAAAGAGCCAAGGTTGCCTACCCCTGGTCTAAGGATTTGGAACACGGACTTAAAAAAAAATACATTCCAAGAATTCTCATTGCCAAGATTACGTCCATGAAAGTTGAAGGGGGGGGGGCGATAGATGTACTCTTTTCAACCTCCCAGATTTGCTGCCCAGCCCTGGCTGCGAATACTCAGAAATTTAAGTTCTCTGTGTATCCAATATAGGCTTGGCTGCGGTAAGAATGGTGGTCCAACCTGTTCACCTCAAGTAGCTAAATAATTCCATTTGGGAGGCTGTAAGAGTTCAGTCTCTTTGGGGAGAGTTGCACATTTCAGGAGTTCCCCGCCTGGACACTCCTGTTTTTAAAATTATGGATTTGGAAAAAAAAACTTGAGAGAATCACGTCTCATTTTCTATATTCTAATTGGACAGAGCAATTTATAAAAGCTTTGGCAAGCGCGTTTCGACGATTTAAGTTTAAACGTACCTGTTAGAAGTTGCGCATCCCCCTCCCCCAATGATCTGAGAGTTGGTAATTATTTCCCTGTAACAAGAATATATTTTACTTCAAATGTTTACAGAAAGAATCGCGATATACATTGACCTAAAGTGGGGAGAGGGAAATCATAGGTGGGCCATATGTAATTAAACTCAGTGCAAGGGAAAACTCAGTGTGTTCGAGAGAGGCGGCCAAGTTCCCTCGCTTGGAGGGCAGTCATCTGAATAGAAAAATGCAAATCAGGCAGGGGGAGGGGGGAGGGGAGATACTGTAGTTGCATTTCCTTGGATAAATTCAAACAATGAAATAAAAAGCCTGTAGCTAATTAAATAGACAACGAGACAGTGCCGGGTTTATTAAAACTGGAAAGATGAAAATACAAGGGAAATATTAACAGGAGAACAAAAGGAAAATATATTCATTGGGGTACGACGCCACTTAAAACAAAATTATCTCTTGCAGGAGGAATGGAAATCCAAGTTAAATTAAGATTTTAAGGGGCGGGGAATGTCTACCAATGAAAATGAAAATGTTTCTGCTTCCCCTCCACAAGTAGAGTGACTCGATTTCCCAAACGTTACTGGATTACTACGCCCCCTACCGATCACGCTGTTCCTGCGCTTTAATGCTTTTCTTTAAACCCTTTTAAGTAGCCTGGCGTTGCAGCTCGGCTCCCTCCCGCCAAAAACATTGAAAAGTCGCTGAACAGACCTTAATGGGCCGCCCTGCAAGTGAAGGAGCAGGGTGGGTGCAGGGAGAGAAAAATTCTCATCCTCTTGGGCGAGATTTCCCTTTGCTCTTAACAAGCAACGTTTTTAGGAGGTGTGCAGGCGATTTGAAGCGGCTTCGGTTTTTATCTGCTACATCTATCAGATTCCCCAGAGCTGCTGGACTAAAACTACCAGTATTTCCAACTACGAGGTTCCCAGTTGCTCTCGGCCACCCTTTTGCAGACGAAAGGCTACAGAAGTCTAGCCTAGTCAAGGCCAGGGCGGTCATTCTGAGTGGAACTGTACAAAGCCTCTCACTGAGCACGGCGGGTGGGCTGGGGACAGAGAAGCCACTCCAGAAGGAAACCAGGCGCCAGCCCCGGCAGCCCGTCCCAGAGCCTAGCCAGTTTGGATCTTAGTTGGTCCCTCCCGTTGCCTTCCGGGCCCGCAGTTCAATTCCTCGCCGCGCTGATGTCAGTAATCACCTCCTTGGTTAATGGAGAGCCCGTGTCTCTCGACGTGCCGGTCAAAGAGGGTCAGCTAAACAGCGGCGGGAGAAGCGCGGGCGAAAAAAGGAGCAGAGAAAGCATGTCGCAGATTGTGTCATTGCTAGGGATTGCCGGAGCGTAATTGGAGTTCCGCTGTGAGGCAATCCGCTAGAACGGCACTCCCCGCTGGGGAGGGGGATCTGCGCGGCAGCGAAGCCGAGAGGCCGGCGCCGCTTTGGGCATCCGGGCGCCGAGAAGTTTTTCATAAGACGGGAGGGGGGAGCCACAGACCGACACCCGGACTGAGAGGGCGAGCGCAGGTTCGGCAGACCCGCTAAGGACAATCGAAAGCCACCCTAGTCGTAGGTTGGAGGGAACGGGCGAGAAGTGCCGAGGCAGCCGGCGCCTGCCTCCTTGCCTGGCCTCGCTCTCCGCGCAAGCCAGTTTCGACCGATTGCTAGTTTCTTGAAGCGAGCTACTGTCATCAACACCCGGGCGACCCACCAACCAATAGACGCGACTCTGCCTGCAACGGGGTTTTCAATCTTCCTCTTTCTTGAGCCCCCTCCCACAACTTTCGGGTTCAGAAGGGCCCGCGAAAGATGTCCCGTCAGAAGCGCGCAGAGGTGTAGGCAGGAGAGGCGCCCTAAGTAGGGGAAATGCGGAATTCAGGTCCCGGAGGAGGCGAGAAAGCGGACGCAAAAAGAGACTTCCTCGCTCTCCTGCGATTTCCTAGACAGGCTCCTCCAGTTCGTGGTTGGCAAGTCGTCGCCTTCCCGACTTTTGAGGCTCTGAAAAGCGGTCTGTTCTGCAAAGCGAATAAACTGAAACCGATATGGCAGCCCCGCTCTCGCCGCCATAAAAGCAACTGCGGGAGTTTCGGCTGCCTTAAGACTGACTGTCCCGCGTCTCCTTTGCTTGCAGGCTCTTTTCCACCATGGCCCCGCTGACTAGTGCTTCCACTGCGGCTGCCCTGCTGCGACAGCCAGCCCCTGCCGTGGACAACGCCGTGCAATCGAGCGGCCTCTCTGACCCGGCCTCCGCGGCAGCGGACCGGCGCGCCTCCAGCATTGCGGCGCTGCGCCTGAAAGCCAAGGAGCACGCGGCGCAGCTCACGCAACTCAACATCCTCCCCGGGAACAGCGCGGGCAAAGAGGTGTGCTAAGCCGCTCCCGGGGGGTTGGTGGGCGAATCGGCCGAGGCAGGAATCCAAGACCAAAAACGGGAGGGAAGCCAGCGGACACACGCTTTCTGGAGAGGAACGGGCGGCGGGGAGGCGCCACTTCTGCGGCTTCCCTTGGGCCAATCCGCAGGAGCCCACCCGTCCTCGGCCGGCAGTTTTTTCCTTGCTACATCGGCCACTTGGTCAGCAAAGCACCTGCCCGAGTTGCGGGAGGCTGGAGAGAAGACCGGGAGGTCGGTGAGGTTGCTAAGAAAACGAAGGGCCGCGGAGGCCAGGCTGCGCTCTTCGCCTGGGCTGTTCTCACCGGCCCAGGAAAGGACCGACAACCGCAGATGCTTGCTGACAGGGCCAAGGCTGGGTCAAAGCCAAGTAGAGCACTTGGGGAGGGGCGGGTTCACCGATCACATCAACCAAGGGTTTTATAGCAAACCAAAGGGAAATATAACGCTAGCATATGGACTGTTTAAAAGTCACTATACTGTGATGCTCGATACTGTACATACCATTGTTATTAAAAAAATACGAAAAAAAGTTCAGAGCTTTGTATATTTGAAATGTTATATAATAATTGCACTCAGTGTAGTGTTTGTACAAGTTTGTCATTTCTGTAGATTTCTGTGTTGTAGATATTATGGGGGCCCTAGACAAATATTTATGTGCAAACTCTTTAACTTATTAATTGTAGAGTTTCCCAAAACCCCGAGAGAGAGAATGCCAACAAGCCAGAGAAAGGCCATCGGAAACGTACGTTTGTGTAATGTTGTTATTGCTCTCACTTTTCCTTGCGATCAAGTGGGAAAGTGTTACCCATAGAAAATAAATATATCTCTCTATATCCGCACGTTTATCAATAATTCAAAAAGCTACCTGGAGGTTCAATGTCATGGAAAACAACCATGCTAATAACAGGGAGGGGGGTGTATAAGCAGATGCGAAGGATTTGACTCCTTTACAGAATGTGGGGGGAAAGACGGACTTTTCATAAATGTTCCAGCTGATACATAGAAAAAGGCTTTGCCAAATTTTCCAACAAAAATTCTCAGATTTGGCTTTGGTTAGTCTAGAATCCCCACCCACCTTCCAAACGGTTGGCTAGGAATTCTGGAAATTGTAGTCGCAGAATAACTGGAAGATACAAAAGAGGGAAAGTAGGTCCTGAACTATGGAGTATGGATGTAAAAGGATACGGCCCAATCCTGCTCATGTCTGCTCAAAGGAAAGTCCCACTGAGATTTTTGGAAAGTGGGTGTAAGAACGAGGCCTAGGCAGGATCCAGTTAACATCGATAGGAGTAGCCGGCCGTCTCAAGTGCACTTACTGGGGAGTAAAACCAACCCAGCACAGTAAGAATTATTCCCAAATCAACATCTTGGCTATTCTAACAAGGAACATTTACTCCAACCTTTTCAATGGGCGCATTTTTCTTCCGCTTTAAATGTGAGCAAATATGGTAGGCACGGGCCTCTCCCCCCTCCCCTTTCTTTCCTTCTTTCGGCCGAAAATGTCTGTCCTCACAAGGGTGACTTTGGGAGGAACCTGGAAGGCTTCTGCTTAGCGGCCTCCGAGCAGGCTTGTAGATCAGGTCGCGGGAGGACGGCCTCTCCCGAGAGGCCGGGGCCAGCCGTGCACCAGCCCGCAACTGTGGGGAATGGGGAGTCGAAGGTGTCTTGGAGCCCGCCCGGAGCCCTGACACACACCCGCCTGCAGGCTGGGTGGGGTATGAAACTGAGGGACTGTCAGAGGCTGCTGGGCTTCGTGGCCGTTTCTCCCGCCTGGAAATTTGGCGGGACTTTTCAGGGCCGAGTGCCGAGGAACGAAGCGGAGACTTGCCACACATCGAGGTTTTTCTTTCCTTAATCCCAGAGGCGGGAAGAAAGATGGCGCTATTCTGCCCCAGCTATTACCGCTCCAGTGACAAGGACGGCAGATGCTGCCTGTGGCACCTCCTCTCCCTTTCCGGGAGCCGGACCGTAGCCGCCTTCCTCCCCCAGCCCGATCTCTCCCTTTTCCAAGCCATTTGACCCTGCCATGGAGCTGAAGCAAATCGCGTGAAATTGCCTCCAAGGATTACATCGCCTCCCCATTGAAAAGCCCCTGAGCCCCTGGTTTACCAACCTCCTAATCCCATGTCACTCGGCTGCTGCAAACAACTCCCCAGTGAAAGGCCCCCTATTCTTCCGCAGCTGGAGGGGCCCTTTACCGTCGGCCGTGGAAGACCGAGCTTGCCCTTGCGCGCGCTTCAAAAAGGAACTTCGGTCTTCCCCGGATTAGAAGAGGGGCCTGGCTGTCACGCCTGACAAGCCCTCAAAGCCGCCACCGAAACCCACGACCTTTCCCTTTCCTGGCTCGGTGGCGGCGGGGAACACCTATCGGGGCCCTTGCGAGAGCGCACCAGGCTTTTCAGGTTTGAATGGGGCTCCGGCAAGGTAGGAAGGTAAAACAAGGCCTTCCCTAAATCCCACCGAATGCTTCCCAGGAAGTTTCACAAAGCTGAGCTCCCCGCTCTCTTTTTCTTTTTCTACAACAGTTTCCTCCTCCTCCTCCCCTTGTAGCCTTCTGTATCTCCAAGGGCTGTGTTTTCTGAATAAGCTCAATGGCGAAAAATGGAAACACCATTTCACTTTGGGAAATTCACCAGAAACGACTGAAGCCAACTTCTCCTGAATTGCTTCCTTCTAAATTGATGCCATATATGGATAAGAAATGGTTGTACAGTACAGCACCTTTCATGTATATATTCCCATTGCCATCTCCACCCAACATACACATACATACTAGGTCAGCTAATAGGAATGAAAGGAATTGATCACAATACACCAGAATTGCAATAACCTAAAGTAGGCCATGGCTTGCCCATAAAGACTTTTGGTAGATGTTGCAAAGAGAATTTAAGAAAAGGCTTCACTGTGGTCTCTTATAGCGAGATTGGCAATTTTTCCTTCCCTGGATATTTCTCTTCTCAGAATTTGAATTCACACATACACCCAGTGGGCTCTTCAGTGTGTTTGTTTTTATGAACAAATTGCAATTCTTCTAAATAACCATAAATTTAACTGACACCATCTTGTACACATATGCATTTGGGAGTATATATATTTAAAAACGCCATAGGTACAAAAATATTTTTATAGAAAAAAGAACATTTGCCTCTGGACATGATTAACAGTAGCGTTTGAAGTGCATATTTTACTTTAAAGAAAAGGGAATCATTATCAATCCATTATGCATTAAGAAATGTCACTCAGTCATTTTTATTCATTCCACAGAAATCATTGTAAAAGCCAGAATCATACTTCTGCAGGCAGCAATTTTGTTAATCCAGGGGGGTTATTACTCTGGTCCCTTATTAGGATCTATACTACTGCCAAGCAATCCTATAACCATCTCAAAAGAAGTTTACCTTCATGTTATAAAACCAGTAGTGGTATTTATACTGTGCAATAATTAGTGTATTACTTGAATCCACTAACAGGTTCATTTTATCTCTGCACAAAACCTCTAGCCTGCTTATAGAAAGCTTGTGCCTCCTTTGGTGCTGTTAAAGTGGTGAAAGAGTGAATGAAGGCTGGTAGCACTCTCTCTTTTTGCCTTGCCTTAATTCCCATCTCTTTTTGCTCTCATCCAATTAGTGCAGTGTATTAAGCAGTTTATCATCTCATAGTCAGCTATTGAGAGAAACAAGGCGAACACTTTGCAATAGAGCCTGCTCTCCTTTGACACCCTCAGGTACTTACATATTCCACTGTGCTATGAATAATAGAGGAAGAATAGAGCACTAATTCCCTCATCAAAGAATGCCTTGTCTGCTGCTTTGCTCAACAACACCATTCTGATCAAAAGAAAAGCAATAAAGCTTAGCATAACAAAACGAAACCTACTTATTAGCTTAGTGGTTAAATTAATGCAGAGCCGCTGCTATTCAAAACCAAGGTTTGAAAACAGCCTCCAACAACCTGATAATGCTGCCTTCAGGATGAAGGAATTTTAATCTGAAATTTGAAGCTGGCACAGATGAGTTAATCTATTAAACAGCTATAAGAGGAGTGCAGGATGAGCGGTTCAATTAAGAAATATTTAGGTGGTCAACAGAAGAGAGGCAAAGGAGGCAAGATGAAAAATAGGCTGAAGTTGGGAAATAGAAACGTAATTTTTATCCAGTAAGAAATGATTCTGGCACAAGATGAGACAATTCATCCGGTTTCTTTCTTTTAATAAATACTAACTGTGAAGTCTGGCTTCTGAGCTTATGTATCAAAACCTCCTTCCCTATCCATCAACCTAACTTTGTTGTCTATTTTTAATTACACACACAGAAAAGGGGGAAAAGGGAGAGTAACTGAGCCCAGATTTCTGTGATGAATTCAGGCTTGTTTTTGGTTTTGCAGTTCTACAATACAATGAATTTAATATGCAAATAAAGATTGATGTACACAAAGAAAGATGGCTTTGCACGTCTCAGTTTTTCCATTGTTAAAATAAGGTGAAACAGTCAAAGTAGGCTGTGTAGTCAGCAAGGGTCATATCAGTAGCCGATTTAGGTGACTAAACATTTAGACATTTACTTCTAACAAAGCATTAATCAAGGCAGCTTTATTTATTTTATGATGCAAAAATATCTTCCCTAGCAATAAAGAAGAAATGAAAAATTCATTATGAAATTTATATTTATAAAATTTACATTTGTAGAAGTAAAATGTTTGCTCAAATTTTCTGCAGAATTCTATATAACAATGTATGTGAAATTATAGTCTTGCTGAGATTAGGTCATATGTTTGTCTACACAAACACATTCATTGTTTTTCATTTCCTCATATTTTACAAATAAATATTTTGAATATGGGCTGTATCAAAACCTATGCAGTGTTTGTAAATACAATATGTTATTCTAATTTAGGAGGAAAATATGCTTTTATCCCTCAGAGTCTGAGCTATTTTAATTGGGCTGCTGATTATAGTAGTAATAGGTACTACTAATAAAGTATGGCCATCTATATGATAGTCTTCTTTAACCAAGACTAAAATCATTTATTGGAAAAACAGAAAAGTAAAATTCCTCAATCCAGAGCTGTTTACAAAGACATTTCTCTCTACATCAATGCTGAGCTACTCGAGCCAAACTAATGCACTCCTCCTCTGTAGAGGAATTCTATTGGCACATTGCAACTCACTCTTCAGCAGGGCAAGATAAATCAAAGCAAACATTTCACCTGATGCCTATCATTTGTATTAATGAAAGCTGAAATAGATGGGGCATCACTACCATTTTTGTTTATTCATCTGTCAGTACAAACAGACAAGAAGTGGGGGATATAAAGTACAAATGGCTTGTCCACCCATATTATTATTCTGTTTCACGGATATATTTCATATGAATGCACCATTCAAATATTTATACCAATAATTTTATTATATTTCCTTCAACTCTGTAAATGTTTACATCCACATTTAAAATGCTTTTACATATACTATACTAATAAAATACTTTTACATATACTAATATGTAAAAATGCTTTTACATATACTAATACATTTACTACCCTCATAGAAGTTAAGAAAGATATCTATATAAGGAGTCCAGCATCTCTCTTTCCCAGCCCCAAATCCCAGCCAGTGAGGTTGGCTTGACTTTTATTGTACCTGTTAATTGTTTATTGGCAATTAAAATATTATAATCATTATAAGATGTTTCCATGGTTTTAATTGCTTACTATAAGGACATTCCTTTTGTCAGCTTAAATTTACTCCATTTTTGTCTCAACTAGCTTCTTCTAATGATAATAGGCTGCCCTATTTGTTTTGATGACTCCCAAGGAATTAATGACTAACATTCAAAGGGCTGAAAGAATTTGCAACACACAATCTTTTTGGCCTATAAAGAAATCAATTGATTCCTTCATATATAGTTTTAATTCAGTTATGCTGCATCATTGCAGCACAATACTCTTGTTTGATATATCCTCCCAGAACAAAAAGAACCTTAATATTGTCATATTAACACATAGTAGATAAATAATGAAAAGAGAATCCATCAGTGCTCCTACTAAGACCTTTGTTAACTTCTTTTCCTGAAAACACCTCTGCTAAATACCTTGATTAAAGTCTAGGATCATGTGCATTCCAGCAATTCTCACTGGAAATTATTCAGTTAAATGAGCATTTTCTATTTCTTGCTTCCATTCTAGGTCTCAATATACAACAACCTATTATAAAATCTAAATTGTAAGCTACTTATTATATCCATCAATTTTTAATCTGCTTTTCTTTTACATATTTTTAGTACTGAATAGTTTTCTTAATCTACAGCCATACTAGTATGCCTCAGTAAATAGAAAATAAGAGAAAAAAAGGTAGATTACTGCCTATAAACAGAGCCCACAAACAATATTTTTAAGTACTGGACTCGTCCCCGTATTTTACTATGCTGAATGTCTGAAAGAGTTTGCCGAGGTTTACTTCAGAATAGCTACTCATAGACAACCATTTGTCAACTGTGTTCTTCAGGTTTTTGTATCCTTCCTTGTAAGCTTCCAACATCTTCTTCAATTCATCTATAGGGGCAGAGAAAATTAAAAGATTAAGGGGGAATGAATGAATTATACTTAGCCAATGCTTTGCAGAACTTTTATCTCTTTAAAACATGGTGACTCCCAAAACCCATAATTCTCTGCAAGATGCCTGCTGCTGAGCTTGCTCTTCCCCTATTTACATTTTTAAAAAGTAGTTTGGTCGGCATGTTTATGTAAGTGTCATACTTGTTATTTACAAACAGATCAAGTGTATCAAGAATTAGTCAGCCCACTTGTCATGCCCAACTTTATTGGCACACCAGCTTCTGTCAATGTTAGGAAGCATATTTTGTCCATTAATGCTGAATAAATTGGGGTAGAGAGGGTAGAGAAGAACAGGAATGAGGGAATAGATTCAGCTATATGACAGAACCAACTGATAGTAAAGAGGTTTAATGAAGAAAACAAATTCAAGTTTAGTGCCACAATTGTCTGGCCATCTGCTTTCAATATTGTGAACCTTGTCTCCTGACTAAAGTACTGAAGAGCTTTATAATGATGAGGATATTGGGAACTTTCTTTAATTGCTTATTATAAGGCATACAAAAGTCCCTACAGCAATGCTCTGAAGACTATTAAAGAGAAATGAACATTCTGCTCCACACTTACATGTTTCCCTCAAATTTCTAGAAAAGCCATTTATGAGGGCGGCAATCAGAAAATCAGAAATTCTCTTTATGAATTCATTTATGCACTTTTAAAGTGCTCAAGGAAATACTTGCAGGCACCCTTCCCTCTTTGCTATATGCATTAACACATTCAGTGGGAATAGCAAGCAAGTTGCATATTTTATTGAGCTACCTTTTGGGGAGCATATAGACAAATAGCTAGATAGCCTATAGCTAACTTGAGAAACAAAATCTGAAACTATATGTCACTGGAAGAACTAAAATGATCACAAGAGCTTGTCATATCAGATCAAGCTACTCCCAACAAGATCACATGGTTAACTGGCAGTGATTCTTCTCGTCTCAGAGGCCTATCAAATTGTTTGCTATCAGAAATTACCATCCTCTATGAAAATTGTAGTGCTAAAAACTAAACAATTTATTAATGTTATGATATAGATAGATAGACTGACCAACTGATAGATATACAGTAAAATGATTACACAGGAATTTACAAGAAGAGATCACTTGGAGCCTTTAGTACTCTCTGAGCTTGATTATTTTTTTGCGGATATTTCTTTACTGAACTAGGTAACATCTTCAGTGCTGTAGTGCCACTGTATCAGAGCATTTCAAAACACTGGAGTTTTAAGATACCAAAGTCTAACATAACAATTCTTCTACTAAATGTCCACTGCAACTCACCTGTGAATTAGATTGGATTGAGAGACTGGCTCAAAGTCACCTAGTGAAATTCTATGACTCAGGATGGGTTTAGAACTTTAGAACACTTAACCTAACATATTTACCACTACATTACACTGGCAATCTTTGTGAATTTGGAAGAAATAATAAATATTTATACAAACTGTGTTTTTTCCTATTTCATACGATGTGAATTATTCTAAGGTTCTGAAAATCTTTTAAAATAAGCATTTTGGAATGTGCAAGTGTATGTATGAAACATGTTTTGAAATCACTGAAATATCTAAAACTTTTTCCAAGTTCCCATAACCGTTTTAAGAAGATGTTTCTGGCTGTCTCGGAAACATTTTTGACAACATTCTGGCTGTCTTCTTTTTGCATTTTTTACAATGTGCTTCTGTATCCATTTGCTAGAAAAAGATGCAGCTGCTTTACTTTGTATGCTTTCCTACAGCTTTTAAAGCAGGGATCTTCAAACTTGGTCCTTTTATGACTTGTGGACTTCAACTCCCAGAATTCCTCAGCCAGCATACCTGGCTGAGGAATTCTGGGAGCTGAAGTCCACAAGTCATAATAGGGCCAAGTTTGAAGACCTCTGTTTTAAAGCATTTCATGCACAGGCTTTGCAGAATTCCGGATTATATTATTGATCTTTTTGTTTTTACTCATTCTCATTTTATGCAAGTTAGAGAAGTCCCAATGAATTCAGTAGATGTTAGTAGCACAAGATAGCAACAGTCTTTCAGTTTGCAAATCTTCTATCATTAGTCATATGGTGAGGCATAATGGACATCTGGGAGGGTCATACTTTCACATTAAGGAAATTAGTAAGTAAATTTCATGAAGGTTTACTAATGCATGTGATTCTCATTTAACAACTCATTAATTGACTACTTGAACTCATAATGGTGCTGGATGAGTAGCAATTATGACTGGTCTTCATAGTTACATTGGTTGCAATGTCACCATGGTCATATGATTGCGATCCAGGTCCCTGGCTCTCAATTGTGATATTGCAGCATTTTGTGGTCACGTGATAGCCATTTGTAACCCTCTTTGCTGCCATCCTACAAGCAAAGCCAATGGAGAAGCCAGCAGGAGGTTGTAAATTGTGACAATATGACATCCTTACTTAATAATCCATGGTTATTTGCTTAACAATGGCAACCAGAAATGCTGGAATTTCTGTCCTATGTGACACTGCAATTTATAACCACATTCGTTAGCAATGGAAATTCCAGTCTCAGTTACCATCATAAAGTAAGGGCAACCCATATTCACTTTTTCCCCCCACTGTAATGGTTTTGCTGCCATTTTTTTCATTTGTCTGGTCACATCCATCTTTTTATCTTATAGAATAATAACTTTATTGTCACTTTGAATGTACACTAATCGGCATACATTAAAATGAAACTTCACTGCATACAGCTCTCAAAGGGTCACCACCTCCAATATACCCTACATAAATATGACAAAAATAGATAGATAGATAAATAAATAAATAAATACAGAATTATGCATATATCCACATATATTATATGACACAGAGAAACAACACAGTTTAGTTTGAATTATGTATACATCTGCATGGAGAGAGAAAAAAAATCTTGCGAGTTTACCAGATGGATGGCATTATATAATTTATACTTTTATATATTGTATGGTTTATATATTCTCTTGCTTGGGGTTAGTCTTTTTTAATAATAACATTATTAATCATTACACTAAAAAAGTTAAAAGCTAATACAAATAAAAAAAATAAAAGTAGAAAGTTTAGGAAAGAAAAAAATAGAAAAGAATAAATAAGAATATAATAAAGAAAAAAAATACATATAAAGAAATGACTTCTCTCAGTACCACAGGTCCAGAATTCATGGCCAACTAAGACCTAGTTTACAATGTCTTCCTCACTTTTTAAAATACACATCTCAAGTAACTTATGTTATCATTTATTTAACAAATTTTTGAATGAATTTTGTCAATTAGCACTCCTTTACTTTTTTCACCCCATTCTTGTTTTATTAAACCATGGATCAATGAAAACTGCCATTTTATTTTTAATCTCATGCAGTACCTACCTTTCTCCTTAACATTTCATTATTATGACACATATATTAATACATATGAGTAAAAAAGGGCTAGTTATGCTAAAAGATTGAACACTCATGAAATAGTTCAAATAAAAAGAAAACAAAAGTAACCATGAGAAAAAATTGATCAAGTTTAGTTTGTCTTCCCCAACATGGCTATTGTTAAGAATACAGGAAACTGAAATTTATGCACTTAGAACGTACTGAAGTTGGGGATGGTTTTTAAACAATGATTTGATTGAAGACAGAGTCATGTTTTTGTGCTTTTTTTTTACACACACACAAATGTCATTTTTCTCATCCAACTAAAAATATTGAACTTCATGGGAGTAACTTAGTAAGCAGAGCCAGCCCAAGATTTTCTTACTGTCTATAGCAAAGGATGGGATATCATCTTGTCATCCATATGAAGAAGATGGACAATTAAATCTTACTTTGGTAATATTACTCTGGTAATATTACCAGGAAATCTGGTAATAGAATGGTGTCCTTCAGAAAATTTGGGAGCAGCAAATTAGAGATCCCATACCAGGTTGTGGGCCATTAAGGGTCTAGTCATTCCACTGCTTGCTGCTGCCTCCTATATGCTGTAATTGCTATTTCAAGCAGCCATCTCACTAGGTCTAACAGTAGGACCAGTCCTGCTGGCCAGTCTCTGACTTCTAAAAGACTGTTTTGAGAAATTCCTGCCCAAAGCAAGAAAAGAGTAAAGCAGGGCTTTTTTTTGTCATAGAACGCCCAGAACGGAGTTCTGGCACCTTTTTTGGATGGAACCTTGTAGGGTAGGCAAGGCGGATTGTATGACATGTGTGAATTCCGGCACTTTTTTTTTTTTTTTAACAAAAAAAGCATTGGAGTAGAGTATATACTATATACTACACACACACACATACACACACAAAAATAAAAATATATATTTTATACTTGTATACTATGTATAGTTATATAAATTATATATACATACACAAACATATATTTAAAAAGAGCTTTCTAAAAAAGTTGCTAATATAGAAAAGTGCTTTGCAAAATTAATGAGGAATATTTTATTTTAAAATATAAAAACAATAAAGAGAATGCACACCAATAAATTTAGACTCCAGCCTTATTTGTACTGCAGCAGTATATGCATTTGAATGACAGAAGTGCATTTGATGACTGGGGAGAATAGATTTAAAGAACTGTAGTAATATAGAGCAGGGAAGATGAGAGAGGACACAGCTCCTGATGTGTTTACCTCCTCTGCTGATGGGATATTGACTTTTCCCACCAGGTTGGTTAGAAAGGGGACTATTTGTGCTGCCACACAGCAGAGTAAGAATGGCAACCAGCATCGTTCTATGCTCTCCTTAGTAAAAGACAATTGTGACCATTGTATAGCACACAGTCAGTCAATACTTTCAAGCTACCATACCATCCAACTTGAAGATGCATATAAGAACTCCCTTTTTTTCTAAATAATTTTTTAATCAATAAAATAGTTCATCTTTTTTTTAGAACAGTGTTGTTACATGATGGAAATTGCTTGTGGAACATTCAGATATATAGATAGAACACAATTTTATACCAACTGCTACCATAC